CTGTAAGACAGGATAGCACTGCCTCGTAGGGTTTCCAAGGAGCAGCTGGTATATTCGAACTGCTGACCTTTTGGTTAGCAGCTGAATGCTTAACCACTGCACCACCAGGGCTCCTGGTACTAACCAGAGGGTGGGGAATCTTGGCTTTATTTCAGCACAAATCATCAGTTGTAAAAATAGAAGTGAAGGTTAGAAGTAAACTCATTTTTAAAAGTTGCACTTCATAGGTCCCTGATCAGTTAATGCCTAAAAGTGGATCCTCATTAAAAATGATACATGTCTCCCTTGTTTAACTATTAGTCTTCATCCTGTTAGTTTCTATTTTACTCACTGGGGCTCAAATGAGGTAAAAATAGAATTGAATTTGTGATTTTTTTGGGAAGATGGCTAGAAAAAGCTAGTTTTTAACCACATACTATCAAGTACCTTAGTAAGGGTGACTAACTCATCCCAGTTTTAAAACTGAAAGTCCTCCATCCCAGGATCCCCCTCATTTCCAGCCAAACCTGGACAGTTGGTCACCCTATCTTATGTCATTCTGTTTCCTTAAAAAGGCTTCACTAGGTTGTTATTGATCATTATTTTGGGTGGAAGGAGATTTCAAAATACACTACTCTCAGAATGTACTAGGGATTAAGTTCCTTTTTTTTTTTTTTTTTACAAGATAGGATTGTCATATTTATTTCAGTGATCCTCGATAATGCCAGATTACCTCTCATAGAAATAAAATGAAGAATTTTGAACTGACTTTGATTCCAAGTACTTTAGTTTTTTCTTTTTTTCATTTATGTGTATGTGTTAAGACCATAGGTGATAAATATGAGACAAATGGGTGGACATTTGTGGCAAATGAGTAGACATATGAGACACATATGTGGACATAAAGTCTCATGTAAAAGTGTTTCTAGCTTGTTTAAGAGAAACATTCAAGGTTTTAAAATATTATTTATCTTTGGCTTTCTATTGAGGCCTTCAGAGAAACCACTGTCCAAGTTCTGCATAATGTCTGTCTTAAAAACAACTATAATCAAATATTAATATGTGGTGTGTTTTTTCTTGCTTGGAAAAAGCTGATTTTACAGTTAGGCAAATTTATTTACTAAGGAGTTAATGAACATAGCATCACATGTTAATATGTCTAGAACATTTGAAAAATAACACAAAATTATTTCAGCCCATTTAAGTATAATTGTTCTATTAAATTTTAAGCTTACAGAGAATCATTAAAGAAGAAAATTGAGGGCCCAACACTGGTAATTAGGTTTTAGAATTGACTCTGTTAAGGACTAGCTTTATAACCTTACGCAAGTAACTTGGTTTTAATTTGCTTTTGTTCCTTATGTATAAAATAGATACAGTAATACCTACTCAATTCCTACCTTAGTGACTGGTATATATCAGATGTGCAGATAAAGTTATTTACCACCCCACCATCCTAAACACACATACTCATAACCTAAGTCTGATATTTATTTCCTCTTTGTCTCATAGGGGTCTCTTGAGGGTGAAAGAAAAAGAAATTTCTTCAGTGAACTGTTTTGCTTTTCTTGAAACCATATATATATATGGGATAGTATTCTTAGATTGTGGATTTCTAGAAATGTGTTACATCATCTCATAAAATTATCCATGAAAAGTAGTAAATAAATGGGAACATCATAAGTTAATTATTTATATAGTGAATACATTAGTTATAGAAGCCTTTAGGTTCTTATAGTCAAGGGATTCAGGCTTGCTTAATCTACACCACACCACCCAGGTTTAGAGGGACTGTTAACACCGGTAAGGTGAAGAACTTTTCTGTCATGTAAGACTCATAAAACCTGTCTGAATTAGAATTCAACTTGGAGTTACTTAATTGACTCTACTTAGATGTTTGCTTAGATGGAAGGAAAGAATCTGGTTGTCCTAGATAAAGTCTGAGTATTTAACTGTATCTCCCTCTCTTTTGAGAACAGTTACTGCTTAAAAGGGGAAGGGGGGATGAGAGTAGTTCCTTGTAAATCTTTGGTTTCTTTTATCATCTGTTTTTACATAGAAAATGGAAGAAGGGAAATTAGCTACTGTTGGGTTTGAGGGCTGTTTTACCCGTTACGACTATATTTTCATTAATTCTTGCAATACATCTGTGATGTAGATTGATGCTATTATCCCCATTTTTAGAGGGGGAAATCAGGGCTCAGAGATTCCCCAAGATCATGTGGTAACAAGTGGCAGAGCTAGGATTTATATTATTAGTTCTCTATTTTTCCTGTTTGTGTATGTGAGAGGGATGATATTTCAGTTTTTTCCATTATTTAAAACAACTAAGATTTGAACCCAGATTAATTTGGCTCCAAAACTCATGGGAAGCATTCAGGAACACAAAGATGAATAAAATGTCATCCGCGGTCTGGATCTTGCATGGAAAGATACATGGAAAAGATACATACATAAGCTCATGTAATACTCTGGAAAGTTTGATGGGATTCCAAATGAGAGAATAACTTAATGCTGGGGAGAGTTTTCCAGAGAAGGTAGCCTTTGAGTGAGTCAGATTGGAAGGATAAGTGGGAATGTGCCTGGTAGAAGAGGCAAGCCACTGGGGATTATAGCAGGTGGCAAAGCTTGCACAAAGCATGCATAAGAGGTGAAAGGTATGGAGTCTTGGAACTAAAGCCAGGCCTTCAGGTTAGGATTTTTCTCTACAAGGAATCAACAGATATGTTAAAGCAGAGAGGAATGGAAGACTGGAATGATAAAAATGCTAGTTATTTTCTTCTTTTGAAATTTTTAAATAGTTTATTTTTGTTGTTAAAAATATACACAGAAAAATATGCACCAGTTCAACAGTTTCTGCATGTACAGTTTGGTTACATTGATTACATTCTTCAAGTTGTACAACCATTCTGCCTGTCCTTTTCCAAATTATTCCTCTACCATTAACATAAACTTACTGCCCCTTTAGCTTCTTATCTAACCTTTCGAGTTGCTGTTGTCGATTTGATCCCGTATAGATAATTCTTTAAAAGAGCACAATGATCTAGGCAGACATTTCTTTACTAATTAAGGTAAACTTTTGTTTGGTTTGGAGCCCTAGTGGTGCAGTGGTTAAGCATTTGGCTGCTAATCAAAAACGTCAGCAGTTTGACTCCACCATCTGCTCCTTCGAAACCCTGTGGGACAGTTCTACTCTGTCATATAGGGTCACTATGAGTTGGAATCAACTCGACAGCAACAAGTTTGATTTGTTTTTTGTTGTTGTTTGAGTTAAAGAAGACTTCAGGGGATATTTTTGGTTTAAGGTTTAAAGATTATCTCAGGGCAGTAGTTTCAGGGGTTCATTCAGCCTCTCTGGCTCAAGAAACTCTGATTTCCGTGACAATTTGAAATTCTGTTCTGCATTTTCACCCTTTTGATCAGGATTTTTCCATAGGATCTTTGATCAAAACATTCAGTAATAGTAGCCAAGCACCATCTAGTTGTTCTGGTTTCATAGCAAATGAGGCAATTAGCTACACATTCCATTTCCTCCTATTTCTGACTCTCCTTTTTCCTCTGTTGCTACAGGTGAACAGAGACCAATTGTTGTAAGCTTTTTTTTTTTAACTGATTCACATTAAGAAGTATATTTTACATTACATAGGCGTGTATGTGTATTTGAAATAAAAGTTTCACAATAAAGTGATGCACTCTATTTTGCAATAGAGTTGTAGTCTATCCTTTTTCATTTTAAAATATAAAGTGCTGATCATGACCCAACAAATTGATTTCAAGACCTACATATACACCTATAGCTTTTTTCTTTTAGGGAATGGTTCTCACAACACTTTCCTTGTCTTTTCATGTGTTGAACTCTGTAAACATTTTAAGATGTATACAAAAACATAAGATCTCTAAACGTGTTCTAGTTCTCTTACTTAACCTTTATCATTTGAATAAGATATCCTTTGCCCTGGTATTTGTTACTTCGCTATACTTTTGGCCTAGTATACTTGAAAAGTTCCAAGGTATAATTTAAACAGTCAATGAAGAAGGATCAAGGTTGTACAAACATATCAGCAAACTGTATTTGAGCTCTATTTTCTGTATCTCACTGACCTGGGCACTAGCATCAGAATAGCTCTGCCAGGTACTTCTGGTATTTACATCCTTTTTCCTGCTCCCTATATAACAATTCTGGAAACCTTGGTGGTGTAGTGGTTAAGTGCTATGGCTGCTAACCAAAAGGTCAGCAGTTCATATCCACCAGGCGCTCCTTGGAAACTCTACAGGGCAGTTCTACTGTGTCCTGTAGGTTCGCTGTGAGTCAGAATCGACTCAACAGCAACGGGTTTGGTTTGGTTTTTGGTATATAACAATTCTGGGCTTGACTTTAAAATTCTACCCTGCTTTCCATGTATGAAGTGTAGCTTAAGAGTTAGGCAACATTGGAAGAAGTATGTTCATAAATACAAATAAAGGAGTCAGTTGTGTATCTGTGTAAATTTTTCCTTTTGAATCAGCACCTCAGATAGCGGTACCTTTTTCCTTTCTAGCAGTGATTTTTGTTATCCTAAGTGGAGGGTCAGTGAAAAAGAGGAAGACCCTCAACGAGATGGATTGACATGGTGGCTGCAGCAGTGGGTTCAAGCATAAAAAATGATTGTGAGGATGGTGCAGGACCGGGCAGTTTTTCGTTCTGTTGTACATAGGGTCGCTGTGAGTCAGAACTGACTTGATGGCACTTAACAACAACCACAACAAGTTTATATACTTCTTTTTTTTACATTTGCCTTTTCTTGTCTTTTTATATATATAACTGAGATCATACAGTATTTGTCCTTTTGTGATTAGCTTATTTCACTCAGCATAATATCTTCAAGCTCCATGCTTACTGTAGCAAGTATTAAGACTTCATTTCTCCTACTGGTTGAGTAATATTCCGTTGTATGTATGTACTACATTTTGTTTATCCGTTCATCTGTTGATGGGCATTTAGGTTGTTCCCTCCTTTTAGTTAAAATTGTGAATAGTGCTGCAGTGAACATTGGTGTACAAGTCTTAAAGGAGTCTCTGCTTTCAAATTTTTGGGGTATATACCTAGAAGTAGAATTACTGGGTCATATGATAGTTCCATTTTTAATTTTTTAGAGGAAACACCACACAGTTTTCTACTATACTTCTTTTGATATTTCCCTTTTCTAAGTCTTAAGTTTATAGAGTTGCAACCCTAACATCATAAATCTTAGTTTCTGAAAGATAGTGGGGCAAGATGAGATCTCTTTTCTGTCACTTTAGGGCTGAAGGAATCAAAAGTAAGTTTTAGGCAGAATTTCTTTTTGTGGGTGATTGGAAATGCTGTAGCAATTCATACATTCAAATATATTATGAACCTAAAGTTTAAGTCTGTTCCTGAGAAATACTTCTGTTTAAGTAGTTCATCTTTCAGTAGTTTTGATTAAATGTTCACCAAGTACGCAAAATGTCCATTAAGGTGAAAAGTGAATGGAAAACTTTGCTTCAGTCTTAAAACTAAGATAATCAGAACTCCCCAAATTTTTGCTAGCCACTCTGTATTTACATGTAATATTTACCAGTGGCCCCAGATACCCTCTCCACAAAGATTCTGGTGTTTAGGCCAAGTGTCTTCCTGCCCTTGGTAAAGACAGCCTATGAGGGACTGCCATCCCTCTTTGAAAATAAGAGCTGTTAGGAATCTTTAGACTGCTGTATAGCACATCAGAACAAAGGGGTCAGGCTTGCAACTTGCAAGCTTTATAGAAGTGAATCCTGTTTAGATAAAAAATGCTGTGGTTCTTTTTTTTATTTTTAAGCATCTTTGGCCTTTATAAGTTTGATAAAACTCTGGACTGTCTCCCCAGACAAGTAGACATACATATAATCCCTGCTCTAAGATTCCCAAGAGAATAGTATAAGAATCTGCCTAGAGCACATCTGTTGAGTTAACCCTCAAACAGATTCTTCTGTTGGTGATGGAGTGAGAGGAGTAGGTACAGGAGAGGCAAAGATACCATCAGTTTCTTTAACTTGAATTGTCATTACATGTTGCCATTAATTATGGATCAGTGTTTTCTTTCACTGCTATTGAAATTTGCTTAGAATGTGGCTAAGCTATTACCTGCTATGAGTGGTCCCGAAAGAACAGCCATCCCAGCAAAGAAACCACCAAGTCCCAAAAAGCTGTGTACTTCAGCATTCCCAGACAGATCAACCTGTAGGGATTAGAATGCAGTATTAGCCATTGTAAAAGTGATGTTCTGTAGAGACCATTCTTAGAGACCTGCACCTGAAGGAACAAATATTGTTTAGGTCATCTCAAACTGAACAGTTGACATTTGAGGTGATTTGGATGGCTTCTTGCCCCCAATTTTATGAAAGAGCTGAGGCCAAATAGACAAAAGTGACTTTATTTGGCAGGCAGTGTTTTCATTTTATCAGCAAGGGAACATTGCTTTTTGGTTGTTTCTTTAATCTTTTAGGTGGTTCTGAGGCTATGTTTCCCTGACCCTCACTGTTTTTCTCTATTAGGAAATGATATTTACAATCAGAGCCTCCAGTGGTGTTCTTGAATCTGCCTTATGGCTGAGTCCCAAGGTGGTTTGTAAGAAATTTGATTTCAGCTGTATATAGCTTGGTTTTTGCCTAAGCCTCATATACTCTCCTATAGCACTTAGGCTTATCTCGCTATCAGGCAATCTAGGGATTCTGTTCTAGCAAGCCTTGGGGACCTGGTTCCAAGGAAAAACCCGTGGGGTCTAGGCAGAAGTATTTGTTTCAGTATCTTGGTACCATTTGGTACAATTTAAACCACTTTAGTAAAAATGGAGAAAAGGTAAAAAAGAAAACAATGTCTCTGTTAAAGTAGATAAGACCAAGGCAATAACCTCAACAAGAGAGAAACTACACTGGTCAGAAAATGTCTTTTTCTCTCAGAGAACTCTTCGAGATTATGTCTTGGAAAGGAGCCAAAGAAATCCCTGGAGCTGAAGGAGACAAGTGAACACAAATCTAACTTTCTGGGAGACTGACAGGCAAAGTCAAATCCTGTTGATCTTTTTTTGTGTCCATTTCTTTAATGTCTCGTGTAAATAGTCCTCTCACCATCTCTTCCCTTGCCCCCCAAGGTAAGATGAATAATTGGAAAGGATGTATATATATATATATATATATATACAGAGTTTCTGAGGTCTTGGGTATGATTTTTTTTTTTTAAATTACAATTTTAATACAAAGTATATATTCTCTTTGGGGAGATTGGTACTGATGCTTACTTTTGCTAAATGTTTTAACAATGTTAATGACTGTTTCTACTCACCAGTACAGGAAATATCAATGCCAGGTAATCGCCAGAGAAAATGGCAAAGAAGATGGAGTAGGTCATAAGTAGTGGAAATGTGGTGGCTAAAGGAACAAGCAGGTTAGTGATGCTGCAAAGGATGAGGTAAGACTTGTGATAATAATCCAGTTTTGATCAGCAACCCAGCCAGAGATAATCTGACTGACTGTCTTAGTAATACCTGGAACAGTGTTGGAAAGGGTGTTATGAAATCCTAATTTCATTTTCCTGGTCCTTTGAAAAATATGAATACATAAGATATCTTTTCATAAGTAATATAGCCTCATCCTGGAGCCAGGATGTCTGAAAAAAAGTTGGTTTCACAAACAGGGAAGTTTGTCAATAGCATCGCTTATTTACTTGTCTATTCCAAAGATGTGTAATAAAATACTGAACAGGCTCTTCCAGAGTTGGGTAAAAGCCTCATCAACTTGCCAGGTGTTTTTTTCTTATTGCATTTGGGAGACTCATACCACCAAACTGGGAATCCCTGGAGGCCAAGCATTCCCTTCCTCTAAGAGGTCCTACAGCTGAAGAAGTGAGATTTCTAAAAGACTAGTAGACCCTCAGGCCAATTTCCTTGGGAAGTCATATTCTTGAAGATTAGAGCATAAATAATAAAGTCTTACGTTGGGAAACAAAACTGATGTTGGGACTCTTTCTTATAATTGCATGTGAGGCTTTAGTAAATAAATTCTCCAAAATCAATCATTATGCTTAATTTGAAAATACTTGGGAAGTCTGGAAGTAGAAGGTCATATTTTCAGCACTGGAGCTATGGTGTAACCTGAATAAGATTTAACAACTACATTTTTCACTCAGTTTCATGAGAATGGAGCTTTACCTTTTATCCTGTTATAAAGTAATATAGCAGTTAAATACTGAGGAACTTTCACCAAGAGTAGCATAAACTGCACTTGGTGTGCATTTTAAATTCTTCTTGTGTGGTTGAAATATTTAATTGCTCCACAAAAAAAGAATAAAAAATGGCATACTACCATTTCTATATTTTTGTAGTTATTTCCAAAGATATGTGTTGATATGTTCTTTGGATCTATTGTATAGCCTTAAGCTTATCTAAATTGATGATGTTGTTCTTAAGTGCCATCAGGTCGATTTCGACTCCTAGCAACCTTATGTGACAAAGTAGAACTGCCTCATAGGGCTTTCTAGGCTGTGATCTTTACGGGAGCAGATAAGATCGCCAGGTCCTTCTGCCATGGAGCCACTGGATAGGTTTGAACCACCAGCCTTTCAGTTAGCAGCTGAGTGCTTAACTGATTGTGCCACCAGAGCTCCTTGCTCTGAATTAATAACTACCAGACATTTTAGTAGGAAAAAAATCCAAAAAACAAGAACAGTTTAGCCATGTATCTTTCTCGAGTACAGAAGCTTTATTTGATTGAAACAAAGTATCTTTGTACAGGCAGTCCCTGGGTTACCAACGTCCAGTTTACCAATTTAGGGACAACTTGTACTTGCCTTTAATGTTATGTAAATTTGCTCTCACTTTGAAATGATTGAACCAACCCCTACTGAAATTCTGCAACAAATTCTTCATCTCAGTCACCTTCGCTTGCTGCACACGGCAGCTTTTAAATCATTGAAAAGGCTTGAAGCCTTTTCTTGCACTAAAGTAAGGCTAAATAAGAACTGTATGCACCTGTTCCAACTCACTTACAAATTCCACCTAAAGGCAGAGTTAGGAAAGGATCTCATTCGCAACCTGGGGACTTCCTGTAATTGGAACAGCTGAAAGGGAGTATAGTCAGTTTTGTAGGGGAGCAAACATGGGCTTGTTAAGTTCAGTCTTTTTAAGAAATCAGCAAGAGAAAAGTTGATGTTGAGCTACTGAGAATTTCCAGAAGTATAATTAGAGCTAACCACTTCACCTCAATATTTCTTTTTATTTTCTTAGTCTCCCTATTTTATCATTGGAGAGAACTCATACGTCTTCTGGATTGAGCATTTTGTTTCCAAACATTTTCATAAATACTCAGCTAAAATGTTTTTCTTTTTAACTTATATTCTAATTTACCTTAAATACGAGCCAGTCCATTAGTGACTAGCCTAAATAGTCCTATTTGCCTGTTTTACTATGAGTTCAAGGGAGAAGTACTTAGCTATGAACATTAACAGAACATTTATTGAATGCTTACTATGAGCCAAACAGTACTCTAAACTCTACAAGCATTACTTGTATAATCCTGACAGCCTTATGAGGGTGTAGATGCTGTTATCCCTATATTACTGATAAGGAAATCGAGACACAGAGAAGTGAAGCAACTTGCCCAAAATTCACACAGGTAGAAAATACAGAGCTAGAACTTGAACCTGGTAAGTCTAACTCCAGAACCATTCCTCTTTACTACTACACTGTGCTGTCTACCTAAGATTTTTCTTGCTTTCTGGAGCAGCAGTTGCCACTGAGCACGAGCTCTTGAAATTCGGTATTTATCCAATACAGGCAGTTCCCTGGGTTACGAACAAGATACATTCCTAAGTCTGACTTTAAGTTGAACTTGTAGGTAAGTTGGAACAGGTACATAAGGTTCTTATTTGTTGTTGTTAGGTGCCGTTGAGTCGATTCTGACTCACAGTGACCCTATAGGAAGAGTAGGACTGCCCTGTGGGGTTTCCAAGGAGCAACTAGTGGATTTGAACTGCTGACCTTTTGGTTAGCAGCAGAGCTCTTAACCGCTACATCACCAGGGCTACTAAGGTTCTTATTTAGCGTCAGTCAAATATAGTATATAGTATGTATTTTACCTTTCTATGCATATAAAGGAAACCCTGGTGGTGTAGTGGTTAAGAGCTACAGCTGCTAACCAAAAGGCGAGCAGTTTGAATCCACCAGGTGCTCCTCTGAAACCCTGTGTGAGAGTTCTCTGTCCTATAGGGTCACTATGAGTGCATACAAAACACTTAAGAAACACTTCCAAACCGTGCAGTGTTTCCATGAGTGTCACTAAGTAGTGCGTGTGTTCATTATTATGAACCATTGTATTTAACTCAGAATTTTAATACAACAGGCTTTATGGCAGTCCGTTGTTAAAGTTCGAGGTGTCAGTAAATCGGACGTTTGTAATCCAGAGACTGCCTGTAAATACTTAGAGTCTACTGTGTTAGACTCTAATATATGAAGATAAATAAGACTTGGTTCAGGGCCCACCTCTACGAAGGAGAGCCCGTGTGCAAGGTGCAGTGACAGCTCTGTGCAGGGAAATGTGCCCTGATGTTCTAACCTCAAAAAGCTGGCTTTTTTGGCTTTCCCACAACTCCATTTTTTTTTTCCCCTTAGCTTTTTAATAAAATTTAATAAACTTTTATAAAATTAAGTTCATTTTTCCTTTTGGGTATGAGGTTGAAGTAGGCTTTCTTGCCAGCTATGTAAACAAGACAGGAGGCATCCATGACCCAGTGTTTTGGCTCTGGCTACCAGGTGAAAGGTAGGGTTGAAATAAGCTAACTGATTGAGGAGAGAAGACCAGGTGAGTATGTAGAAGAAAGGATTTTTAGAGAGAAATATCAAAGAATGTTTGCAGCTCCACGAAATAGCCTTTTTCTTGTAACTGTCTTTATTGTTTATTAGGAATAATCTGCTCTTGTGAGGCCCATTGTTGAATTCTTTGCTATGATTTTCTGAGACTAATTAACTTGTATAGGGTTGTCCAGCCTTCCGCATCGTTTTGTCCCTGATGGAAGATTCCTGTATCTCATTGCAGTATGTTTCTTTCCCACACACTGCCTCTGGACCACTTGAGATAGACTGCTACCTTCATCTTTAGTATCAGAATTGTTCTCACTTTTGATAAGGACAGGTCTCAAGAGCATACCAACCTAAACCAAACCTGTTGCCGTTGAGTCGATTCCAACTCATAGTGACCCTATAGGACAGAGTAGAACTGCCCCATAGGGTTTCCAAGGAGTGGCCGGTGGATTCGAACTGCCGACCTTTTGGTTAGCCGAATGCTTACCCACTGTGCCACCAGGGCTCCAAGAGCATACCAGAAGGTACCAAATTCAATATGGTAGCTCCAAATAATATAAGGGCACCTAAATTGGAGAGAGAAATTGATAAGTTGAAAATAACTTCTTAATTCAAAATACTGTGTTTATAGGCTCAGAAGAGGCCCCCACCACTAAATATTCATAACCATAGTCCAGTAATTACTGAAAACATTCCTTTGTCCTCTAAATTTAAATGAAAGCATAAAAAGTCTGTTGACTTAACTGTTAGCCACACATAATGCTGTATTTCTGTGGAAGCAGTCATTTGCACATAGAAAGATCTGCACCAATAGATAGATTGGAAGGAGAGAGATTGATATTTGTACTAAAGGATAAAAAGTTTGGAGGGGAGCTATTTCATATACTAGGAAATTTTAGTGTTTTAAGTATAGATTTTAAATACCCTGAAGTGAGGAGGATACGTATACATTTATGTACAGAAAATATGGAATTAGATAATGGAAATCATTTGGAAACTGCCTTAGGGGAAGGGACAGCCTTTCATACCATGATATTTTTTAATTGCCTTCAAAGAAGATAGATGTTAATCTTGCCCTTGAGGTATCTCAGTTTCCTCATCGGTAATACTGTTCCTTAGTTTCAGCATGTCCTGACCAGAACTGACTTGTGGTTGGTGCTTCTACAGATAGAACTGTAGATAGGCTTTGCTGTTTTAGCATAAGGATTTGTTAGCTGGTCCTATTCGTCATTAAACTAGGTATTTTTTGACTTACGAAAGGAAAGATTCACCAGAATTGCTATGTAGATGGTAATAGGCATATGAACATATTTTTTTCCCAGTAATTCAAAGTTACTTTAGTTCAACATACTTGTTATCTCAGGTACAGAAAAAAATTGTGAGGTGAATTGCTTTTTATTCATTTGTGAAAATTTATAGTTCACAGTATATAAAAGATCTATTAAGGGACAATAATTTTCTTTTACTAAATTTTCTTTTCCGTTGATTTTATTGAGTCTGATGGAGGAGGCATGGTATGTTTTCCTCGATGGAAATTTTTTTCTTAAAGGAAAAATTTGAAAAGTGAGTGCTTGTCAGGGTTAAGGGAGGGAGAGAATCCTTGTTTTCCCAGGGGTGTCTCTTTCAATGTAGGGTGTTTCACCAGCTGTGCCATTTCATTAGGCATTTAAACCTGTGGTGAACCCTTATGACTTGCTTGTGTGAGCTGACATAGCCAGAAAGTAGTTTAAGACCTCTTCTGCTATGTGTTCTTCAGGAAAGGGGCATGTTCACTTTAGAAATTGTGCTCATTTCCTCTGTGGCAATACCTCATAAAATCGGTTGCTCTAAAAGTCTTCACTTTAGTCACCAAATGGGAGAGAGCGATAGTTGAGAAACTTAAAATGATTCACCTGGCCGGTCATATAGATCTATCAGGAATTTTGTAAAAGGTGCCAACAGAAATTTCACTACCATCCCAGAACGAGCAATAACAGTAGAAAAAGACAATCATTTTTTGAAATATTTGGTTGTTACCACAGAAGGTATTTGGTACAAGAAAGCAGAACCCAAACCTAAAAGAAAAACAGGTAGTAGCTTTGAATCACTTTCACGTACAAGTTGTACCATACAAGATAGTCTCCTGCATATAGGATATTATAACTAGACCGTTTGGTCCTATGGACAGTAAAAGGGAAGATTCCTACCTCCATCTTTTATAGCCTCATTTTTACAGTGGACTCACCAGGTAAAAGTCCCATAGTTACACAAAGAAAGGGAATGCTTGTAGTGCAGCTCCTGATCAAATACCCACCAGTAACAAGGAAAGCACCAAGAATGGAGAATTCCCTTCAAATATTTGAGAGGTAATGGCAACCAGGGAACCTTGAGAGAACAAAAAAGGCAAATATAGTACTAGGTAAATGTGCTGTGGCATCCCTTACCCTCTGATGTGCAATTTAAATGAAAGACTGAAGAAAAACAAGAGGACTCTACTTTGACATGTTGGGTATCCGTCAAAAAGATGTCTGTGTTGGGTTTCTTAATATTCCTGGTTTCACACTATTTTGGTTTTTGGAAGTTATTTTTTTTTAAACAAAAGAATCGTAAATAAGCAGGTTTGGAGGAGAAGCTTATTGAAAATGCGTTATAAAGTCTACAAGATGAGATTGCATCTAGTATCCTTTGTCTACAACAAGGTTGAATCCATTAATCTGCTTTACCATGTTACAACTCCAAGTAAAACTAAAGGAGAAGAAACCTGTTTTATATTTTGTTTTGAGTATGATTAGATGACTAGACCTTCCAGGTCTGAATTCCAGTTGAGGGCCTGGTTTGTTCAGCTTCTATTAAGGCATTACTGGACTGTAAAAAAACTCACAAGACAAGAAAAATTGAATCATGAAATTAAAAGTTGAATTTTTCACCGTTCTTTCTTTGAGCCCTAATTTTTCCAACTTAGTTACCAAATCAAGAGGCTACACACTGCCAGTCCTTACTTTCTTCACTACAGATTTGTAAATGAGCCTGAATTTGAGCAATGCTTCAGACTTGCATGACAGAGGAATCTTCCTGGAATTGCCCTTTGTGGTACTTGGACAGTAAGCTTATTGCTGGCTTTATACCTGCAGAAAAAGGAAGTAATGACATAATCGATCCAATCCAACCAATTTGCTCTGAGGTGCCTTCAAACTCTTTAAAAGCCACACACACACACACACAAAAATTCCAAAAGTCTTGGTCATCCCCATCAGAAACACATTTACCTAAATCAAAGCAGACCAAACAATCCAAGTCAGGTGGTGAGTGAGCTGTTAGAGGAGGTTATAGCTGCTAGAGGTTATTATTCTTCTAGCTTACTAGTACTTACTAGTGTGCATTTATTGACAGTTCCTCATTGTACATTTTATATTTTATGGGAAAGTCATTCCTTTTAGAAGGTCACACTATGAGTCAGAATCGACTCAACGGCAACAAGTTTGGTTATTGGTTTGAAGCACTTGATGTGAAAGCATCTCATTTAATCTTTATTACAAGGTTATGGAATAGATGTGTCAGTGCTCTGTTACAGATTTGGAAATTGCAATTTAGATAAAGTTGCTTAAGGTGGAAATGCTGGAGCTGAGATTTGAGCCCAGACTCCAGACCAACCTCTACTACCTCTGCTGTTCTGTTACAGTATCATCATCTTTTAACAACAGCCAACTCCAGTTACCTTTATGGGAGGAGAGCATTTGTCCAAAAGAATCATTCCGATCAGTTCTTAGGTTAACTTTGCTTTTAGCTTTGCTCCTGAGCTGCAAGTACCCTCCCTCACTTGATACATAATTAGGGTGACTGTATAATTTATCATCTAAATTGGGACACTTGAGAAAGGGAGTGCTATTAATATGCCAAGACAGGAAGAGTAAACTGGGATGTATGGTCACCCTATGGTTAGGTCATATCCTCCATTCTTTCTTTGTCCCACCTAACCCTTCTTGCTTGTATCTTTCCCTCCCCTCAACCCTCTCCCTGACCAGAAGGAACACCCCCCCATTTTTTTTTTTTATTGTACTTCAGGTGAAGGTTTACAGAACAAATAGTTTCTCATTAAACAGTAGTACACATATTGTTTATGACGTTGGTTAGCAACCCCATGACATGTCAACCCTCTCCCTTCTTGACTTTTTTTTTTTTTTGGTGAAAATATACATAGCCAAAGATACACCATTTTAAATGTTTCTACGTGCGCAGTTCAGTGACATTGGCTACGCTCTT